AATATTCTGACTCTGCAGCATGGCTCTGTAAGGGACAGGGCCTGCACAGTAAGGACACAGGGAAGCAGGTTGGAGAAAAAGGGGTGGCTCAGACCATCAGCCATTTATGCCTAGGATTCAAGGAACCTGGATCAAATCTCAGAGCCACGGTGTATCCACACATGTGCAATCCAAACATAACACAACTTCATGGGAGAGATTTCTGGTACCAAGTAGACTCCTGGAATACTGCTGATAGGAAAACCGTTACTACCTCAATTCATGGGAAAGAGTAGTACTGGTACTAATTCCAACAGGAGTATCCAGTAACCTGATAATCCTCCCGTAAGGAAAAGAAATTGTGAAAGAGTTAATAAGCTTCTGCCTCATGCAAAGGGAAATCTATTGCAAAAAGGAAATCCCCAAAGATTAAAAAAAAAAGTGTATAAAATAGTCAAAGATCAAAAATTGATGAAAAGACATACTGCTTTCTTTACCCTGTGTACCTTTTTGCAGACCTATTTGTATCTAGATCTACCAGCAGATATCCTATTATTCTATTAATTCCTTTCCTCCCAACAGGGTTTGTTTGTTTGGTTATTATGCTAGAAACATATTTCTCAGAGATATTGCTCTTTCTAGGATTCCTTAGCCCTATATCTGCAGGATCAAATAGGTGTTAATTAATATTGGGCTTTATGTCCTTAGACCATTAGACCAATCAAGACTGATTCATGAAATGTATATTTTTTCAGAGCACATGATTTGTCAAGAACTTTAGAATTGGCTTTTGAAAAGTGCTGTTATAAGAAAAATCTCACTGTAGCTATTTTTAATTCCTAACTAATGGTCCATATTTTAAATAATACTCAATATAAATCTCAGGCAGGACTATAACTGCCTTTTAGAATTAATTTGAGTAGGATTTGAAGCATGTATGCTCCATAAAGCAGGCAATGAGCGCTTAGTAATTATTAACTATTAAGAAAAGGGTAATAGAGAATTAGATTTTAGTTGTCCCTTAAATATCAGCACAACCAAACTTAAGTGCAAAATTTCTAACTCAAATGATTGCATCTGGGCCAGGCATTTAGCCCCCATGTCATAGTCAACAACTGTTTTCTGAACATCTCCATGTGCTGTAATTTTCTTTTTTTCCTCTGTACCACCCCTCACAGGATCCAAATAGTTTTTCTCAGTTTAGGTAACTGTGGGCAGGATGGTGCCAATTGTCTTTTAAAAGTTAAGTGTTAATCAGGTAGAATTCAAGATTGTCCCTACACAAGTATCACTCGTTCACTCAATTTGGATATATGCTCCTAGCTTGGGGAGAAAAAGGTAGACTTAGAGGCAGCCCCTCGGAACATGCACAGAATGTTGTATGGCCCTGGGAGTGTGAAAGTGGATATATGATCTGCAGGTGGAGAGGGGAGAAGAAATGCTGAGGGATCTAATGGCAGGGAGTTGGTACCAGGTCACTGTCACAGGGGCTGTTTGAGCATTTGCAGCATGGAAAGGAAACCTGTGCCAGCCTCACTCCCACCTGCCAGTCTTCTTCCCCCACTCCCTCCCCCGAGTGAGGCCCACTCAATCCACAGTACAGCTCTACTGCACCAAGAAGGGTCCCAGCAAGCAGGGCCTGTCCCAGCAAGACTGTCCCTGTCCCTGTGGGACCCCTACTGAGGGTTATAGGGGCCCATGAGAGATGCCCCTATGTATTGATGTGGAAGGAGATGATGAGTTGAGGAGGTCCCTCTCCCCATGCAGAAGTGAAGAGAAAGGAACAAAATGGGTTCTTAGAATGGCCTGTGGGTGAGTACCTCTTTGTGCTGTCAGTTCCCTTCATCTTCCAGCTCTGGGTATACCTAGTATGGTTTCATCCAACTGCCAAGATCCTGGAATTGAGGGAGGCTGGTGAATGGTGCCAAACCACAGGAGCAGAAGCAGGAGCTGTAGGAAAGGGGCTAGTGTGCCTCCAATGTCAGCATTTGGGCCTTGTTGGCATTGAGGGAGAAGTACACTGGGGCCATTGTACTGTAGATGAGGCTTCTTGGACCGAAAGTTTGAACTTTTGATGAATGTGGGAAGCGTTCAGCAAAAATTCAATTCAACCAGCCATTAATACATATTCACTCCGTGCAAGGCATTGTGGGAGGCTTCTTCAAGGGAACTGGAGATGACTAGGATGTGATCTCCATCCTCAAGAGGTCTGAGCACTCTCAAAAGAGTAGGGAAAACAGATCCACAGATATTTATACAGTGATATAATGCCACTGACTGTTATTGACACATAACAAACACCCTGGGCTGGGTCCACTGGCGAGAAGAAGGAGGATTCTGGCCGTTGGGGGTCATCCAACACCCATCCATTCACCATTTCACAAAAATGTATTTGAGTATTCCATTTTAGACCTGCTAAGCTTAAGACTGATGTGACACTTAAGTGAAAACACTCAAGTTTGGAGCTCAGAATCTAGACTAGAAATATAAATCATGGATTAAAGGCAATGGATGAGATCACCAAGCAGCAAGTGTGGTGAGAAAAGAATACCCAGAAGGATACATGTGGGGGTAGGAGGGGCTGGTGGGCAGTAAAGGAGGAAGAGGAGACAGCCAAGGAGTTGTTGCATTGTTTTAACTGCTGATGCTGTATTAACAGAAAATGTATCTCTAAAGATGTGAAACACAGCTGGTCCTTTTATAGCAATGATGATGATGGGATATAGCATGAAGACCAGCTCACCAAGCGAGAGCTTTCTGTAGCCCACAGTGGCGTAAGGATGACAGCTGTCCACCCAGTCCATGAGGCGCCGTGCTCAGCACTTCACACATGTTACTGCTCTGTAGTCAGCCCTCACTGCACCCTTCCAGTCGGGAATTACCATGGGGCACAGAGAAGTTGGGTCGCTTGCCCCGATCTCGTGGCCAGCAGCAACTAAGTCAGGATTCCACCTCACCTCTCTAGCTGCCCAGGCCTTGCATAGATGCTCACTGGTTTCAGAACACACAGCCTGTGGTGTGTCTGAATTCATGGGACAGGGCCTGTACAGGGTCTGTGAGGAAATCTCCTACCTTCTACAGAAAGCTAACAAGTCAAGCATGGCACTATGTTGATATGCTTCAACTGTGTCAGGTATTAAGTAGCAGTTATCAAACCTGTTTCTCCTTTCATGACTTCACTAACACTTCTCTCTTTGGGTCTCTTTTGCTCCCACCATCTCCCAGGTTCTCTTGTACTCGTTTCAGTCTTCTTTTCCCCAAAACTAATAATACATGCTCTACTCTCTGGTCCTCTCTCCTATATCTGCTTCTCCCTCTGCTCTTTCTCCGCCTTATCTTCTCCCTTCTAAATTTAACATGCAAATTGCAATTCCTCTCAGTTTTCAAGTTTACCATCTTGATGCTACAGCTTTCTTTTTGCCACCACTTTCCTAAATTCTGAAGCAAAGTCCTGACGGTGAGATTGAAAGTCATTTATAAATTTTGTAGTGGTCTCTGTTCACAAGCAGCTACTGTGGACACTGAGGGCAAGGCGACACTGTCTTCCTTCTTTGATGGTCAAATCAGCTTCACTACTATCAGTTAATTTTATCTCCAACTAATTTCAAGCACTCTCTCCCAACAAAACAAACTGAGTACTTTGTTATATACTAACCAATCTATCATCCTCTTCCTCTCCTTCTGGGGTGGGATGGGAAGCCAGCCTGCTGTAGGAAATCATTCTCCCAGATGGGCAAAGACGCCGTCCCTGTGCATGTATGTTCATGTGTGGGCACCTGGGCAGGCCTTCTGGACCACCCCATCTCTCATCCACACCCTCTCCCCTCCTCCCACCAAAAGCCCCACATCCTCTCACCAATCTCCTGACTTACTTTTGAAGCATTTCTCTGTCTGGCTTGTCTATCTCCATACAGGCTGATGTAAATATGTGATTTTTATATGTATTTATTAATGTTTGGTTCAGTTTGTATTTTTTGTGGGTACAGTCCTATGTGTTCGAGCATGCGGAATACACACATGCTGACACCTGCACTTATGTGGGTTTAGTTCCAGATGACGCGACAGGAATATAATGGCAATTGAACATTTGCACATAAATACAACATACACGATACCTGGGGGGAGGGGGAATGTCTGTGGGTTTACTTACCAACAGGGTTTTATTTTGCATAGGTAAAGGGAGTTGCACTGCACTAACAATAAATTAGCTTATTTATGGGTCACTGTCAGTGATTCCCTTACAAATCACATTACCTAAATATTTCTATCTGTGGTCTGACATGCCACGTGGTCTGAGTTGATAATAGCAGTACTGAGCCATGCTCTCTACAGGTAATATATGAAAGAAAATAACTGCATGGTTGAAAATATGCTAAGGAGCTTAAAGAAAGCAATTACAAAACCTCTTAAGGGGCTTCCCTGGTGGTGCAGTGGTTGAGAGTCCGCCTGCCGATGCACGGGACACGGGTTCGTGCCCCAGTCCGGGAAGATCCCACATGCCGTGGAGAGGCTGGGCCCGTGAGCCATGGCCTCTGAGCCTGCGCGTCCGGAGCCTGTGCTCCGCAACGGGAGAGGCCAAAACAGTGAGAGGTCCGCGTACCGTAAAAAAAAAAAACACCAATAACAAAACCTCTTAAAAATCTAGTTAGAAATAACATGTACAATGTTGTATTTACAGTTTCAAACTGACTCAGTAATCTACTTTTAAGTCATTACCTGTCATTCCTTTTACAATAACAAATCCAAAGCTTTTATTTTACTGAAGTAATGGGTTAATCTTTTGTTTTCTCTCATGTTCTCAAATATATACAATTACAAAGTCGTTCAAAATATCACCTCTGTTAAATGATAATATTTGTTCTATGAGGAGGATGCTAGAACAATATTTGGAGAACAAAAAACTAAACCCATAAAGGATTTATTTATAATCTCTTCCATTCAGTGGGAATTTATGTTCTCCTGATTTTGTCTATTACATGTATTAAGTATTTTGAATGGGGAAAACACCTCAAAGAGGACATTCATGCGGATCCTAGCTCACAGTTGATGATCTGACTAAATGATCTCAAATAACTAAAGAGGTGTGGAGAAGCACTTCCTGGAGTTGCCATGCACCGACAGGAATAGACTCAGGCGGGACCCATCACCTTCCCCAACACGCAGGGGTGGCGTCAAAGGTCAGGCCAGACTGGGCTTCGTCAGTGACGCCAAGAGGGGCAGGAAACGCGGCACGCTGGCCGCGCCCCCGCCCTCCGCTGGGAGCCCCTGATTGGGTCCCCCGCAATCTGCCCTCTGCAGCCCGCTCCCCTCCGGGGAGGCGAGCCCAGCCGAGAGCCGGCTGCCCAGCCCCTGACCAAGATTTTAAACGGGCAAGTTTTGTTCCGGAGACCCCCATGACTTTAGCTTCGCTGCCAGGAGGAGAGCCGACCTGCGATTTGGGAGTTTGAGGAGCTGGTCTTGAACTTGGTGAGTTTTGCTTTAAGCTCTCTTTGAAATTAAGTTGGGATTGAAGGTGGGGCGGGGTGAGTCTCTCCCCACCGTCCCACTGCATTCTTAAAACGAACCGCTGTAGCGAAACTGTATGCTGCAGATTAGAGTTTCCTTCTTTTGTCACTGAGGCCCCCAGAAGCTCGAGGCGTAAGTGGTGTGACAAGAGATCTTTTAAAGTCTAGCCTGCCCTTAGACCTCTTGCTCTGAAAAGGAAAATAAGGTGCTCAGAGAACTGCAACTCAGTCAAAACTTATCTCCCGCAGATGAGTAAACCTTTGCATGTTCTGAACGAATGGATCGCCTGTCTAACAAATTCTACCTCCTAATGCAAACTGTACGGAGACCAGTTGTTTCATATGGAATTAATATATGTGATCAATCGTACCATTTAAAAAAATGCTCTGCATCCCACCGCATCCTAGCAGGGGCCCAGGCCCCTGGTGGGTGGAAATGTAGTCTTCTCTTCCGGATCACTAAATGTGGTAAGTTCTAGCCCGCTCGGCGGGGATAAATCTCAACTCCCCGCCTGGTTTGTTCTTTGTGAGGGGAGACTGACTCCCTCGGTCCACAGCGGAGGGCTCCGGACCGCCCGGCCTCCGCCCCGCCCCTGCCCGGCCTGGCCGCCTTGCCGCGCCGCGCCTCTCCGCAGGAGCAATTCCCGGGCTGCGGGACCGGAGACTCGGAGTCTGTTCCGCCTCCTCGGTGAGGTTTCCAGGGCCAAGAGGGGAAGAGAGTCGCGAGGAGGTGAAGGCACGCGCGTTCGCACGGTGGCTCAGGTTGGAATGCGCGCTGGGGCCGGGGAGGCACGGCTGAAGCAGACACTGGTCCGGAGCGCGCCCGGCCCGGCGTCGGGAAGCTGGGGCCGCCCTACCCGCCGCGGGTCAGGGCTGCCCGCAGCCCGAGAGCGCGGTGGGGAAGGAGGCGCGTTCCCTCTCCGGAGCGCCTTTGTTTGCTCGGGCCTGCGGGCGGGCGTTTAGCGACCGTGACCCTGGGCCGAGCCTCCGCCCAGGTGCAGCAGGTAGGCTGGGGGGCCCGGAGCTCCGGCGGGGTGAAGTGTCCCGGCGCCGGGCGGGGTTCCCTTTCCTCGGAGCTTCCGCGAGGCGGCCGCTTCGCCGCGATGCCGAAACCGTCCGGAGCCGGGAGGAGAACACCGAGCCCTGCGGGCCTCCGTTCCGGCTGGTGGCCCCCAACCTTGCAGCCACACCTAGGCTGCAGGGGTGAATTCGGGTAGAAATCCTGTGTCGTGTTGGGAATTGGGAAACCGCCAGACTAGGGAAGCTTTCGGTGAGTTACTGGCTGGGGAAATGGAGACAAGGAAGTAGGCAGGCGGGGAAACTGGAAAAAGAGACCTCTTTCTAAGTGGGGAGGTCTTTGCCACGCTTTCCTTTGACTCTGCTGAATTTTATTTTGCATCCTGAAGTGACAGAGTCAATTGCTTACTCAGATACCACTTACCTAGGTCCAGAGTAGGAACTTTTCATCCGACTCTGACTACACACCTTATATTTTTCTTTCCCAGTGTTGGTTTTCATAGTTTATGGGTCATGTTAAAGGGACACCAAAGTTGTAATCGCTCCGTGGCTGGTGGTGGCTTGGAGCTAATATTTAGGGTAATTCTCTGATGCAAGTACATCCATTAGAACTGGATTTGTTCCTCTGTGCCTTTATTTTGGGAAACTTTGCCTGGTCCCTATGGGGGAAGGGAGAAGGGTGTGAGAAGCTGAAACTGACCCAGAAAAGGATGATTGAAGGTAGTTGTATTCAGTGATGGCGCTGAAAAGATCCCATCCTGAACTTTCTGAAAGGGGGATTGGTGATTAGCACCTGAGGTTTTAACTTTCTCAAAAGAAACTTATGGTAGATTTTATATCCTGTGACAGGGCGGGGGAGAGGGGGGAGCAGCTTTTTGGAGTCAACTCTTTTCTTTTTAAAGAAGATAAATTCAATACCTGAAATGTTTCCATTAAATACTTGAAATGATTCTCCCCTTTCCCTCTCCTTCTCTCTCTCCCATCCCCTCTCCCACAGGCACTCTCCTTGAGTGTTTACTGAGCACCCTCTGAGGAAGAGGGTGACTCAGTCTGACTAATCTCAGCCCTCCAGGTGCTCACCGTGACACCTGAAGATGGGAATGAGTGTTGTGACAGGGAGAGTTCAAGCTGAAGCTCAGAGAGGCTGTTTCTGAGGAAGTGAGAAATGAGGGATGTTTAGGAGGCATAGATGATATTGCACACAAATGCTTTGACCACACACACATACACACACCCAAGCACAAACACAAACCATCAGAAGGTGGAGAAGAGTTTTCAACATAAAGTGCAGGCTTTAGCAAGGAAAAAATGTCACATTATATTTCATTAAAATAGAGATCAAATTTCCCTTTTATAAAAGACTGATTCAAATGAGATTGTAAGAAAAGGAAATAACTTTCAAATTCTCAAATATAGAACAGCTTGAATAATAACTCATGGGTTTTGAAATGGGTCATCTTTTAAAATGGGTCACTTTGGCTAGAATCATTGTACTCGGTGACTTTCAAATAGTCAAGGTAGAGTTCTTTCTGAGGACCAACTGCACTAGAGTCTACATAACAGAACATGGGATGTGGTAGAAAGAAACTGGGAAAAATTCAGAAGGAAATGATTTCTTCTCAAAGTAACAAAATGTATCCTGTCTTTTTGGAGTGTTATATATACTCAACTGAATAAATCTTAGCTTTGCATTTTATGGCACATTATACCTTTTGGGGAATATTTCCATAGCCATTATTTTATTCCATTGTGGAATAATCTTGTGAGGAGATGTATACATTGTATCTATGTTCCAGAAATTGAGGAACAGCAAATTATTACAAGAGCCCTGCTATTAGATATAGAATCTCTGCCAGCAGAGATTTAGCCAGAACAGTGTAAATCTAGAATATTTGTCTTACAGTTTGCGTATATAAAAGAGATATAAGAATTCATATTTAAAGATAAGCAACTTGATCAGGTGAGATGTAAACTTTGAATAAACAGAAGTGATTTCTTTTTGCATTTTAGTGCTAGACATTCAGAGGCTGGCTTTGACCAGTAACTTATTTATCTTCCATAGTGAACGTTTTAACACTAGAAGCCAGTTTTTTTTTTTTTTTTAAACAGAAAGGAATGTTCTACCAAGTCTGCAGGCAATAAGCCCCCTAAATTCCAAGTTCAGAGCACTATTACCCAGCTTAAGATTCCCTGAAATTTCATTATTTTGTCTCTTTTATTCCTTTTCTACAACTCTTTTGACAACGTTTTGGTTGTGCTCTAAGCAAAGTAAGTTAAAAAGATGACTCCACTCAGGTTTCCCTCTCCATAATTTACAGGGCCTTACTTTTGGCTGTGTCCTTTGAAATGTATTTTTAAGTGCTTGTGGGAACAGTATTGTTCTTTCCTGTAAAGCATAATGGAAGACCATGTTCAGTCAATTAGGAATGATACCTCTGTTCTCAGTCACAACAGTATTTGAGATGTATTAGTGGCCCTTAGCAATCAGATCAGTATTTCAAAAAACTCATATTCAATAAATATTTTTGAGAAGAATATAAAGAGTATAGCTCATCACTTTGAAAGGAAAATAACCCATAAAGAATATCGGCCATCTATTAACTAAACCATCATGGTAAAGATGCATCAGCAATTTCTAGAGAAAGGAAATTAGCATACATCAAACCCCTGATCTGGACCACATTCTGTCAATAAATCTTCTCAAATGATCCTCAGAAAACACTGTTGGTACAAGGTTTAGAGACAAATCAAGCTCATGTGATTAGTAAATGGAAGCTGCAGAATATAAATTACTTTTGTTCACATTCTAAAACTCTTGATTTTTCTACTCTCTTGACCCCATCAGGTCCAGATTCAAGGTTGCACCGGAACATTTTCTTACTGTGAGGGGATCTACACTGGAAACATCTTTGAAGCCCTCTCAGCATCCTGTCTGTGGCCTACTACACAGTATGTGATAAATTAGTATTTGTTGAATGAATTAAATGTAGGTATTACCTGCTTTCAGGGCTGTGCAGCATAATGCCTGGGATAGGACAGGTGCTTAAATGGTAGTTAACTTATAATAAATGTTGATCAGCTGAGACAGAAATGTGTTATAAATATCTCTTATGTTTTAGACCTTCATTTTTTATACTCTGAACCCACAATCAAATGTGTCCAGAATGGGACATATGAACTGCCATTGGACAACAAGCTCATGTGCATAGCTTATATAACAGGCTTATACCAGGTTATATTGTCACCCTATTTTGAAATCACTATTTTTCATATCATAATTTGACCTCAGCTGTGTACGACTCCTCTCCTTTTATCTCATCCAATACTTATTCATTGAATACTTGCTTAAAACATCCTCTCTGAGTCCTACACGTTTTACTCTCTTCTCCTTCCCTCCTTCTTACTTTTTTCTTTACCCCCTTCTACCACTTTGAATCTCCACCCTTAAATTCCCCAATCTTCCTTGTGCGGGAAAGACTTTATGTACCCAAAGGACCCAGACTTACACGGTCACTTTTGCCCATTGTCTAGTGCTACTGAGATCAAGAAAAGGAAGGAGGGAAACTTGAGATGGAAGGTTAGGAAAAGGGTATGTTACAAAGAAAATAAGAACAAGCTCTGGTGAAGTGCAGGTGGTAGCAAAACATAAATGACTCCAAACTTTAGACAGTGAAGCAAATCTTTTGCCTTGGGTTCCTTCTCTTGGTTCTGCCCTACCTGCTTCCCTGTCCTCCCATCCTTCTGGGAGCTCCAGGAAGAGCAGCTGTGCCAGTGCCAGAAAAGGCAGGTGAGGAGCTCAGGGACAGGGCTGTAACTGATCAGGTGCTTCTGAGCTGCCACAGGGTCTGGAATTTATGGAGGTTACATGGTTAATCCCATGTCTCAGTGCCTCAGTTTCTTCTTCTGCAAAATGGGGAGATAATTTCTCCCTCATAGGTTGTTGTGAGACTTAAAGAGTTACTATATATGTAAAGCATTCTGAACAGAGCCTGGTGCACAGTAAACACACCAAGTTAGTAACTGTTGCTAGACTGGGCATAAGGAGAAGTTTGTTCCTTAAGTAGGCAAGAACAAAACTGTTAAGAATTGTATTTAAAGAGCAAGCAGCCCTGACAACCCAAACAAATATGCCTCAAGAATGAATACAGAAGGCCAAGCTTAGAAAAGCAAGTGCTTGACCTTTCTGAGACCCTCTTTATATTTCAGCTTTTTTGTTTGTTTCAAATTCTGTATAATCAAACTGGTTACTGGGAAATTTCAGCAACTTTTAATATAATTCCTCTGAAATATAATATATTCTATAATCCCTCTGTCACCAGTTTCCTTAGTGCTTATCTTTACTTAGAGGCTGTCTTTACTTGTTTGGTCATTTTGTATTTCCCTGTCTTTATTTTTCCTATAACCAGCAAACAGAAATCGACACCCATGTTTAACTTATAAAGAAACATATAACTTAGTTTACATAAGTGGAGAGCAATACATTTTATAACCAGCTTTTCCCACTGTCCCATATCCATGCTTGCAGAGTTGAAATTTAAAGTCTTTGGACTAACACTGGATCAAGAACTAACTCTAAAAATGTATTCTTTGTGGAGGGATAACAATTCCAAATGGCTTGTAATCTTTGCCCATGGCTTGAGATAAGTTTCATAGCTAGTCACAGCCACAAAACACCTAAAGACAGCTGTTGAGTGGAATTTGTCCTTTTTTACAGCCTTATATTGGAAATTTGATTAAAGAATAAAATATAATTGAGAGACTATCTAATTTTTCCCACTTAAAATGTGAGTTGTAAATTCACATTTCAGGTTGCTTCCTTCCTTCTTGAGCAAACAGAAGGGGAAATAGTGCTAAACAGTAACCTGTTGTGTTTCTCAGCACCAATTACTACAACTAATTTACTAAGAAAAGAATCTATGAAGATCAAATTATAGCCTTTCCAGTAAATTCAGGGCTTTTTATTCCTGATTTCTTTAACATGGCAGTTTGGCTCCTGAGGATTGATTCTAGCTACATTTAATAGGGAATAGATGATCAGAACAAGCCAGGAAAAAAAATACTTGGAATGTAGAACAATATGCAACATAAAGATGGGAGAGAAAATGTTATCTTTCTTTCCTTTGAGTTATGCCTGGAAAGGAACCAAAAATTGTGTCTCACATGGGACTTTAAGTCATGAAAGCTTAAGCATAAAAGTATCAAGTATTGAGGCTTTTAAAAAAAAATCTGTGACTTACTGGAGGAGCATCATTAGTCTATAGTCATACTTTTATCACTTTAATATTTTGTGCCCCAAACGACTGCCTCACTTGCCTCTCCCTTGCCCTCCCCTGACAGTGGTCAGTGTGCTTTACAGAGGGAACGGCGAGGGCTGGCCAGCCTGGGGAATTCCCGAAGAGGAAGCACATGTGGGATGAGATGGTGAGAATGTGTGTGATGTCTTTTCCTTTCTCTATGAGGCAGGAGGGGAAGTCATCAGCTAAGAGGAGCAGGACAGGCCTTGGGAGAGGGGGAATGATGTAGCATGGCTGGTGAAGAGCCTGGGAGAGGGAGAAGGTCCAGGACAAGTGGAGGACGGCCACACAGCCTTGAGTACTCTGCCCACAGCTGGATATCGCCACTTGTGGTGATGCTGTCTGCCTGGTGCGTTATGTTTCTCCAGCAGCCCGCAGGTGTTGTAGAGAAGACAGGAATGACCCAAGGTCTGGGGTTGCTGGGGTGGAAGGCCAGGAACCAGGGAGAGGAGGGCAAAGGTGCCAGGTGATCCTGCATCTGAGACAGGGAGGCAGGTAGAAGAAAGGTCAGGAGATGGCTGGCTGGACCCGGGGTGTTAGGGGGCAGGTGGGGGGTGCAGAGGATTCCAGATGAATATTTAGAGGTTGTGGCTGAAGAGAGAGTGGACTGGAATTTGAAATTTCAGAAGAAATGCAGGTCTAAGTGAAGCCACATAAATGACTTGGGCTCCTTAGGCTTCTGAGTGTTGTATGTCTACTGGGTAAGACGTAGAAATGTAGTTTCCCCAAGATTGGATGTTGTTCATATATCACAATGATGGCCAGAAACGGTGGTCAAGAAACAAAGGAGTGGACACAAAAATATATGCATTTTTGAATTCAAACCCACTGGTTTCTCTAGTTAACATTACTCAGCCTTCAGGTCTAGATTCAGTGCCGCTTGTCCTCCTGGAAGATGCCTTCCCTAACTCCACCCAACCCCACCTTGAGAGCCCCCTGCGCTCCCAGCACAGCTCTCACTGCTCCACGTCTGTCTTCCCACTCGAGCGCCAGGACTAGCCTTTACGTCCTGCCTTGCGACTGTCTCCATCTTAATTTTCTTTGTTACCCCATCTTAATTTTCTGACGGACCAGCCCTTTAAGCTAGTTTCTGTTTTTTCTTACTCCTCCCCCTTCTCCTTCCCCAGAGTTTACTGTTCCAGGCCTCTGCTCAGCTCCCCCACTGGAGGGCTCACCCATGTTCATAGCCTCCATCGTCTTTACACGCAGGGTGCCCACCGGACCTTCAGTCCTGTCTGCCTCCAGGCTCAGATTACCTACTGGACTTCTCTACCTGCTGTCTCTCCAACATCTCAGTCAGCGCAGCCTAAAGCCACACATGTCCCCTCCTCACTCCTAACTCCGGAGACCAGAGTTCCCTCTTTTGTCAGGAATGCATGAAACTAGGTTTCTCTCCTCTCCTTTACTCCTTTCCTTGTCACTCATCACATACCACTGGGGTTTTGTTTTTCTTGAGAGGGTCTTCTTTATTCCTTCCTTCCCTCCCCACTTCTACCATCCTAGACTAGACCCTCCTTTCCTCATTCTGCTTCAGTACGAGGCCCTGATATAACCAGTGTCCGATCTCCTGGCATCCTGCATCCATCCTGCATACCACTGCCAGATTTTTGCATAAAGTTTAATAAATATTGACAAGGGAGTTATCACTAAAAACAAAAAGGGAAACTTCTGGGACTTGCTGCCCTGGGCACTCACTGGCTTCTCTGCCTTATTTTCAAGGTTCTCCATAAGTACACCCCAACCTCCTGCTTTCAAACACATGCCTGTTTCTCAAGGATTTGCCATATTTTGTTTCTTTCCTTTCTTGCCTGAAACAGACTGCTTGTCCTTCGGCAGCCACCTAAATCCTGTTCATCCTCAGGCCCTTCTGATCCAACTGTCACTGATCTCTACTCCTGGGGACACTCCTATTGTGCCTGGAGTTGGTATGACCCAGATTAGTGCCAACACACTGTCTGTACCTTACTGTGACATCCCCGTTGCTGTCTGGGGGAACTGTGTTTTCACATGGGCACCATGAGTCTTGTCTCAACTAGATTGTAGGTGCTTTCAGAGCAGAGACCAGAAAATACGACTTCATGACTCCCACTGTACCTGGGATATTTCCATAGCAAATACTCACACACTTATAGGATTAATTGAAACACTGGACACTGAGGTTGTTTAACTTGAACTTAAAATGCCGACCTCATCATCTTGATTAAAATGTCAAAATTTACAGCAGATTTTGCGTAATATTTTAGGATCACAAAAGTAGACTCAACAAAGAAATGGGTTGACAGCAGGAGTGAAGTAGAAAAAAATCAGGGTTCATTAGTGCCTCTAGATGCACTAATTATTTTTGTTTTTGTTCTTTTTCTGTTTTTTTTTTGCGGTACGCGGGCCTCTCACAGCTGTGGCCTCTCCCGCCACGGAGCACAGGCTCCGGACACGCAGGCTCAGCGGCTATGGCTCACGGGCCCAGCCGCTCTGCGGCACGTGGGATCCTCCCGGACCGGGGCACGAACCCGCGTCCCCTGCATCGGCAGACGGACTCCCAACCACTGCGCCACCAGGGAAGCCCTGTTTTTGTTCTTTTTAATCAGAAAAGTTTAAAGAGCTCTCTCGTGAAGAAATATTCTTGAGTGGCTGAGGGGCACAGCTCCTAGACTGAGAAGTATTTGGGGTGGGGTCTGCTACCTTCTTTTCTGATGTTCCTACTCAACTTCTGTTCTTATTCTTCTGACTACTTCTATCAGGAAAGAGAATACTAAGAATATCTGTTCCTTCTCAATCCAGATAGAAGCAAACCCAAGTTATATTCCAAATATTTGCATATTTTCCTCTAACCAGCTCTTTGTCCTGTTCTCTCAGCAGGCTCTGAAGTCATCTGTAATTTTTATATCCCCTCCGTAACAATACTTTGATCCTTGCCCCCAGCTTGCAGATTAAGTCACCACAGCAGAGTGCAGTGAGGGGTGCCCGAGGTTATACAATAAATCTGGCCCCAAACCGGGTAGCCTTGGTTCCAACCTGTTGATTGGTCACCCAGCCGCACTGCAGGCACAAAGGAAGCTGCACCCACAGCATTCTGTTGTGGATGGTTGCTGAGTTCACAATCATTATTGGGATCGCTTTGTTTCCTGTTAGGACTAGCATTTTCTTTCTCCAGGTCAGGGAGGCCTGTGGGCTTCTCTATAGCCCCCAACCCAGCACTTTGAGTACAGAAGCTAGAGGATGTGCTTTAGAGAAGCTTTATGGCTGTGTGAACCAGAGGGTGGGCCTTGATTGCCTGTGTGTGGTCTCCATCAGCAAAGCCAGGGCTGGGGCAATGTTATTTAGTTGTAACAAATGAATTTAGACCATGGAGGTGTTTTTGCTTTTGGTTGGAAAAGTCCGGGCTAGTGACTAAGTTCACTTTGGAGGAGTTGGGGTGTTCTTTTGCTATAAGAGAAGCTGGGTCCTCTAAAAGAGCCGTTTACCATTCCTAGGTCTTCCCCTCATCACATCAACGCTATCAGGGAGACTTGGTTATGACGGACGTAAACAGTGGCTCCAACAATTCAAGCAGCTGCAGGTGGAGAAACCGTGTCTTAGAACTTCACACACTGTGCTGAGCCTGAAGAAGTAGCATGGCTGGTTGGCTTTGTGACAAGTTCTTTTTTATTTTTAAGAAAACAGTTGTGACTCTTAGAGGCCAACTGGGAACAATTGAAGAAATGTAGGGAAATGAGGGAAATACATACATGGCGGGGTAGGGAGGGGACAAAACCAATGTTATGGGCTGGTTTCTTGGCTGTAGTAGCAATGTTAGCAGCAACATTCCACCCGGGTGAGTAATAGACCCCATTCATGGGAGAGAGACTAGGGCCTCTGTGAGCGCAGTGTGCGAGTGGGTGCTGGCGGAGTTGGGCTGGTGGGCTGACTGTCTAGCAAGAAGCTCTGGGTTGTAAACAACTGTGAATAGGTGCAAAGCAAGCTGCCCTTGGAACATACTACTGAGTGCAGCTGCTCAGAAATGGGAAGCTAGTTTTGCCTGTGGTTCCAAGGGTTACTCTCCTCTTTGTTTCTTTCCCAGAATCTCTTGGAATAGAAACAGCAGATTAGTTTCAATTGAGAATTTTCTTAGAATTCTTAAACACTTACGCTGTCTTAAAATCTGCTGTTAGGGATTCCCTGTTACTTCGCATTAAGCCTCCAGTTCCTTCAGTATGTGTCGTGGAAGAAGTAGAAGGGGGTTTTGGCCTTCAGAGGTGGACCTTATCTAAGTGAGCACTGTTAAGACGGAGAGGAAGTGCCCCACTCCCCCCAAGCCAGTGAAAGTGATTGTGCAAAGTGTAGGCAGATGCCATCATCAGAAATGGATGCTCCCTGCTGTCCTTCACCTACCCTAGAGCATTCGGTCCGCCATGACCAGCCAAACTAAGGGGGAAATTACCAACGTTGATCTAGCCCTTAGAATAGTATTCCTCACCTTTTTTGACAGTAAAGCACAATAAAAATGCATGTTACTTTACAACCCTAAAGGTATATACACACAACACTTAAAGTTTCACAAAACAATACTTACACTTACTACTTTCAATGCACTCTGCCATTCTCTATTCTGTTCTTCCTTTTTCTTTTCTCTCTTTCTTTCTTTCTTTTTTTTTTTTAAAGCTGTTTGTGGCTTCCTAAGTGGTGCTAGCAGTTTAAAAATCTCTACCCTTGGGGATAAGATGCCTGTGCTGATTATCTCTAGACAGAGTCTCACTGAGGCTTGGTTCTAATCTCCTGTCCTCCTTGGACTTTTCGCATGCTTGGCTTTTGCAGTTATCACCCTCATGTGGAGTAATCCTGGGGGGATGTGAAAGGCCTGAAGTCAACAAGGAATTCCCACAGCCCAGGTTAGGCCGGTACTGCCTGGTGCTCTCAGTGTGTGCAACTGGTTTTTTATCAGGGGCAAAGGGTAGGGGACTTGAGGATGAGGTCTTTGGGCACAAAAGCAAAGCCCTTGCCCTGGGGCTTGTGATGTGGGCTCAGCTACTCCGCCAGCCTGGACATCCTGGAATCTGCGTTGTCCTTTCCCTGTCAGTCTGTTGAAAGCCCAGGAGACTGATGTGTCAAGCCCGAGGGGAGAGCCTGCTTCTCCAGGCAAAATGTTGCATCTTAACTGTGGTAAGCACTGGGGACAGAATCCTCGAGGAAGGGTGGTGCTGTCTCCTAGTGGTAGGAGGAAAGGGAGGACACGTGGCAGGCAGTGGTGGCAGGGGCCTCATCTGAGGTGGTACCTGGCTGGGCATCCTGACCCCAGTTCTTCCCAAGTGACCAGCTGCTTGAGTGACAGGTGGCTCCACCCCCAGCATGGTTCTTTGCACCAGCGTTCAGAGAACGCCTACTAGGTATCAGGCACTGACATGGATGCTGAGGTAGGTTATCTACAACAAGGCATCTATCTCGTGCCTTGGGTCAGAGTTCACAGTGTAATTGGGCGGAGGCAGTTAAGTAAAAAATCTCAGTACAAGAAGATGGATGTAAGAAGGTGTTGTGGCTACAACAGCCAGGAAGGACATGGAAGCAACCTAACTGTCCATCAATAGATGAGTGGATAAAGGAGATGTTGTACATATATACAATGGAATATTACTCAGCCATAAAAAAGAATGAAATAATGCCGTTTGCAGCAACATGGACGGACATAGAGATTGTCATCCTGAGTGAAGTAAGTCAGACAGAGGAAGACAAATATCATATAATATCACTTACATGTGGAATCTAAAAAAATGGTACAAATGAACTTACTTACAAAACAGAAATGGAGTCACAGATGCAGAAAACAAACTTATGGTTAGCAGGGGGGAAAAGGGGGGGAGGGATAAATTGGGAGATTGGGATTGACATATGCACACTACTATATATAAAATACATAACTAATAAGAACCCTCTGTATAGCACAGGGAACTCTTACTCAATACTCTGTAATGGCCTATATGGGAAAAGAATCTAAAAGAGTGGATATATGTGTATGTATAACTGACTCATTGCTGTACAGCAGAAACTAACATAACATTGTAAATCAACTATACTCCAATAAAATTTTTTGAAAAAAAAAGAGAAAAAAAGAAGGTGTTATGGCAGTACAGGTAAGAGCAGGGGGCCCAATTCAGACTTCCCAGAGGCAGATGCCTGTAGAATTTAATTAGGACTAGTAGACTTCCTTTAGCAAGGGGAGTGGGGCTAACAGGCCACAGGACTGCTGGTGCAAAGGCTGGTGTGTGTGAAATAGCAAGGGTGTCTGAGCTTTCAGCCAATAATTTGGTATTGTCAACTAGTGGAGAGCATCTGAAGGGGTTTCAAGAGCTCAGGTAGTCTCATGGTTAGATCTGAGTTTTAGAAAGGTCACTCTGTGGGGAGGATGGGTTGGCCAGAGATCTTTCAGTCAGCTGTACTGGTCTGGCTGAGAAGTGAAGATGACATGAAAAGGTGAAGAGAGGTTTAGAAGAAGCAATTCACAAGATTAAATAATTAGATACAGAAGAGGAAGGAAAGGAGGACTTTCAGATTTCTGGCACAGACACATGAAGTGTAGTCAGACACAAAGAAAAAATGGAAACAGATTTTAGGGGAGAAGACAGTAGAAATGGCATTTGAGTACCCCCATGTGCAGGTAATTATTATCTATCTACCTTCCTCTATCTATACCTCTATGTATGTTCCCATTTAATCTTCCCATTTAAGACTTCAAATTAAGCAGTGTTATTAGAATTTTTTACATTTCTGGGTTAGATGCATGATAAAGTACAACATACAGTAAGTGGCTGAGCCAGCACTGGTGTTCAAATTGCCTGACTACAAAGACAGTGCTTGTTGGTTATAATCCTGTGGCTTCCCAGTTTTGAACATGTTAAATTTGAGATGCCTGTGGAGTTTCCAAATGGAAAAGTACAGAAAGAAGATGACTGTACAAAGGTCACTTTGGTTAGAGAGAGTTTGGACTATGCTTTTGAGAAGCATATCTCAACTCCTTGATTATGAACCTTGATTTGAAAAAAAAAAAAAATCTTACTCCTATTCCTGCCTTGTCTGGGGCAAGCTTTAATGGATTTTTACTATTAGGAACTTCCTTTTCATTCAGTATTGTTCCCTGAACTATATAGCTGCTGTCATCCTGACTATATTCCAAGTCAATAGATTCATCGATACACCCATTTGAGAAATTTTAACTTTAAGTATATAAGATGATAGACATACTGGATGCTTTTTTTTTTTTTAAGGTTGAAAAGAGAAAAGGGTCTCTGTATTCTGAATGAGAAGATGGTAGAGAGTGGTTCTTTCCCTCTCCCTGGATTCCCCTGAAAAAATAAACAGCTGTATGCCTCCCCGCAACACCAGCTGCCCCATCACCTTTTGTCCAGATCAGTCAGGTTACATATCGTTTTTAAGGAATTAAGAGTAGTCTGTTTCTTTTTGGTAACTCAGTAACCTATTCACTTCTCATTTTTTCTCTTTCTAAATCTAATAGGTTGCACTTAACTTTCACAAAAAGGAGTACACAGAATAGCTGCGTAAGGCCAATTCCGAACTTAATGAAGGATGTCAGAGTGGGAGCATTCTGATGTGCCAGTGTCCTCATCCTGCAGTGTGTTCCGTTTTCTCCCCTTTCCGAAAAAAATGGTATTAAAATATTTTGTGAAATAAGAAGCTCCTTTTACATTTTTAATGACCAACATGCACATCTGTTCTAAAGAATACAAAGTCCTATGGTCTTGAAGAAGGAAGCACCCATTTAAAACTGACCCTGAATAAAAACAGACCTGAATGGACGTCAGAATGTTTGTTAGTGGCAGGAGAGTAAAAAAATGGCAATTTATTCAGTTATTTGCCACTTGTTTTGTACTAAGCCTCATGTTCTTCTGGATACCGATCGATAACCACATCGTGAGCCACATGAAGTCCTACTCTTACAGATACCTCATAAATAGCTACGACTTTGTGAATGATAGCCTGTCTCTTAAGCGCAGCGAGGATGGGGCTCCTCGCTACCAGTACTTGATAAACCATGAGGAGAAGTGTCAAACACAAGACGTCCTGCTCTTACTGTTTGTAAAGACTGCTCCTGAAAACTACAATCGCCGTTCTGCCATTAGGAAAACATGGGGCAATGAGAAGTATGTTCGCTCTGAACTTAACGCCAACATTAAAACTCTGTTTGTCTTAGGAACACCTTCTGACCCACTGACAAGAGAAAGACTTCAGAGAAGACTGGTTTGGGAAGATCAGATGTACAATGATATAATTCAGCAAGGCTTTGCTGATTCTTTCTATAATCTTACTCTTAAATTTCTTCTGCAGTTCAGTTGGGCAAATAGCTTTTGTCCACATGCGAAATTCCTTATGACTGCTGATGATGACATATTTATTCACATGCCAAATCTTATTGAATACCTTCAGAGTTTAGAACGAATTGGTGTTCAAGACTTTTGGATTGGTCGTGTTCATCGTGGTGCCCCTCCCGTCAGAGACAAAAGCAGCAAATACTATGTCTCCTATGAAATGTACCAGTGGCCGGCTTACCCTGACTATACTGCAGGAGCCGCCTACGTGATCTCTGGTGATGTAGCCGCCAAAGTCTATGAGGCATCACAGACACTTAACTCTAGTCTTTACATAGACGATGTGTTCATGGGCCTCTGTGCCAATAAAATAGGGATAGTACCACAATACCATGTGTTTTTCTCCGGGGAAGGTAAAACTCCTTATCATCCCTGCATCTATGAAAAAATGATGACATCTCATGGGCATGTAGAAGACCTTCAGGACCTTTGGAAGGATGCCACAGACCCAAGAGTAAAAATGATTTCAAAAGGTTTCTTTGGTCAATTATACTGCAGAATAATTAAGATAGTCCTCCTTTGCAAACTGACCTGTGAGGATACGTATCCGTGTAGGGCTGCCTTTGCCTAATAGTACTTGAATGTTGTATGTTTTCACTGTCACTGAGCCAGACATGGATGAAAAAACCTTTAAATGTTTGTCTATACCATAAGTGAAATGAATATGAAGAACAAAGAAATATTTTGAAAGCCCTGTCTATCAGAATGTTTCTTTGATTCTAGAAGCCCTTCAATATAACTTATCTACTTCATTGCCTAAATTCATATCAAGGAATTTATATTTAGACAAGGTTTATGAAAACAAAACTAAAGGGAATTTCAAGTTCACAGTACCACGTGTATATTAGAGGTGTAGAGAAGTTATTAAGGTGCCTAGGTGTTAGAATAACTGCTTTTGGAAAATACCAAGTAAGTGTATAGTACAACATTTCAAAGAAATGGATATATTGTTAGACCAGGTATACAAGTTTATTTTGATTAAAGAGCACTTGATGGAGTTGGTGGAGGCAGGAGAGGATTGGCCTAGAAGAAAGTACATGAATCTGGTAAAAGAAAGTTTCCTCTTCTTCAGAGGAGATTTAGGAAAATGTACACAATTTCTTTATAAACTGTCAAATCACTTACTGTCACATCCATGTAGCTATTTTACCTGGATACTGTTGGAGTCATTTTAAATATATTCATATCTTTTTTTCAAAGTTTAATGTGAAATTTGAGAAGTCATGAGTTCTGCCCTAACTGGTACTTTATTATGGTTCTTTTTGATTATTAGAAAATGACACAAAACATGGACAGTGTCTTACTCATGGGGTCCTTCTCTAGAGAGAAATCATTGTTAATTCAAATAAGCTGATTTTAATTTAATGAATTTTTCAACTGGTTTTTAAATATTCAATATGGGTCTGTTTTTAAGGCAGCTATTTGAATGTAAGTTTACATAGAGGAATATAATAATGAAGAATTCAAAAGGAAAGATAGAACATTAAAAGCCTCTTTTCTCCATAATTTATAAAATAAAAGTTTTAGTGTCTAAATTGTATTGATTACTAAAATTAGCCTACCCCTCTCCAACAGGGTCTCATAAACCACAGACTTTGTTCTGAGTTCAGCTTTTAAAATTGAGAGTATTAAACATCAAATCGAAGCTGTAGTATTTTAAAAAAATCTACTCTTTCATCACAACAACTGTCAGAGGTTATCTTCAACTTATAAATATTTCCAACTTCAAAGTAGAATGAAAGTGATAGAAACGTCACCAGAATGAGATTTAAAGCATTTGTAAAGCTGTAGGTTTCTTGTAATCAAAGAAATGTGGCTGAGATCCAATACCACATTACATTTATTTTACAGAGCAGGATAAAAATGTGGCTATGATGCAAACAACCTCCCCTCACTACAGAAAGAACTAGGTGATGTCTGTTGTTAGGGGGATTATATGAAAGCCAAAATAGTGACTTCAGCAAAAGCAGTTGAACTGATTATAAACCCTTTGTCTGCAGAGGCTCCTGTTAGGGAAAACTAAGTAAGATGTCTGAAACATGTCTGAAACATGCAAAAAAACTAAAAAAGAATTCTCAGTATACACAACTGGATGATGATATGTATAATTTGTTGCAGGTAGCTTCTCAATGTTTACAGAAATTTTTTGTTAATTTTTTTCTATTTTGAAAATTGAAGCTTGTTTACATTGATTGCTCAGATAATTTAAAATTTTTAACTCATGTCAAAACTATGGTATCAAACATTCTAGTTTTTCGTTACTTTCAGAGTAGGTTCAGGGTTTTTAGATCATTACAGTTTTAATTTTCTGACCAATTTAAAAAACTGTAGAGAACAAAAGCGTATTTTGACAAACCAGGTTTATAATTAATTTTTATTAGTTGATTCTTTAATAACCATTTGCCTTTTGGCCATATATATGCCCTGTGTATCTATACTTGTAACTGTTTAAATTTGCCATTGGTTGAAAACATCAGTGTCTCTCTGGCCATCAAAATGATCTTGTTTACAGCAATACTTTTGTGAAACAGTTATTTATTTGTGAAAGAGCTCCCCTCAATTGTGTTCATCTTTTTATTTTTGCTTAAAATAGAATGAAACAGTTAAATATGAAGGAAATATGAAGGTACTTCCTTTTTTTAATAAGAAGGAAATTGCTAGACACTTCCTTCATCAGATTTAAAGTACTGAGAAGATTAATTGTAAATAAAGGATTCCAACCTTTTAAAAAGGAAGGAAAAAACTTTTTGGTGCTCCGGTGCAAGGCTGTCTTTTAAAAATCATCAGTAAAGGGAAAATAAACTCTTAGCCTGGATGGTCAATTGACAGTTATACACAGTGTTATTGCTAAAAACTTTTTACCTCTTGGTTGGTTTGCGTCTTTTTTCCATATTATTAATTTTATACCAAAATGTTAAATATTTATATTATTTGAATTTTGCTTATATGGCAAAATAGAGGGTTTTTAAAAATAAATCTATGATTTCCAATAAACAACTTGAAAATTGTCAACAGATGTGTATTTTCGCAAAGGTTTTTAAACTCGTGTGTGAACACCATTTGTTTATATAATCAACTAGTTCTGTTTAATGTCAGAGAGGTCTGTAGTACATGATCATAATCCTATTTCCTGTTCAGACTTGCTGCTGTGCCCATGATAGAGGATTATTGTGTCCTCTGCATTGTGGAGCCATCTAAAATGCTTCTTTTGTTTGTTGAAAGATTTATGCTGGAATGTCTAGGTGAGGGAATTCTTCTTTCCTAATAGATTGTTCAGGAAAAGATGAAATAAGAACCTATCTATAGCCATAGTGCCTTAAGACATCATTTGAAAGGTCATATTTTCCTTTTATTTGATATCATTAGCTATTCAACAGTTGATTCAAATTTAGCCCTAGTCTCTTAACGTTATGAATATTCTTAGGCCTGCTCTGCAGTGTTTGGTGTTTCAGTATATCTGTACATAGTATGTGCTCATCTGCTTTTCACCTGATTCTGGCTTGATTCTTAGCATAGTACATGGTGTGATTCAATCTATATATTTTTTAAAACTTGGAAGCATCTGAATTATTTGGTTGTAGTAGAACTTTTACTTGCACGGCATGGCTGGGGTGTTTGTAGTTGGGACTAAAATGATGATGACTCAGAAGAGTTAAGTTGACCTATTTTGGGGACTTTAATTGAATACCATAGCTGCAGTGAGAATCAGACAGGGTTGCTCATTCTTCTGTAATAATGAGAGAAATGTTAGGTGTCTCCTTGACTCTGCTTTCCCTGCAGTGACTGCATTCTGCAGTTGGACTAGCCTCAGTCGCAGCTTTCATTATGATGTTCCTTTGCTCCAGACCTCAAAGGCTCCTTACTGCCCCAGCATCAAATCTAATCTCTTCTACCTGATTTTCAAGGCCTTATCTAATCTTCTTTTCCTCCTTCATTCCCTGTAGCTTTATTTTTCCCACTGCCGCTATTACTCATCACAGATCTCATTCATGAGATCTTACCTTGCATAAATTGGTTTCCCTTGCTAGGAACACTGTTTCTCCTGAAACTGTTGAAATCTTGGATTTACAACCCTACCCTTGCTCCTCCATTAAGCATCTCCTCCCCTCCCTCTAAAGTATATATTTAATCAAATATTTTATTGTGCTACCTAGGAATCACTTCATGTGTTTTTTCCTAGTTAAAATATAAGTTATGAAGGGTAGGGACTATGCACAGTGCTATCACACAGTGCTTAGAATCATTATTTTTCCCAAATATAATAAAGTAATGTTATTCTGGCAAGCCATCCAAAAATGAAAAGAGATTAATTATTCAGGACCCTTAATGAACACTATCTGGTATAACATTTTACCTGCACTACTTAAAAGCTTATAATTTATTCAACAAAATCTGACTGCTTACTATGTGCCAAGCATATTGTACCTATCAACTCTAGCCCAACAAATCTGTATTAGTTATACATAAAAACTCAAATCTATAAAATCAAAAATGAATAAGGGAATATAGATTAAACTGTTGCAGCAAAGATGGTGATCTTATAGTATTTATTCAAAGCTGGTTGTAGAACTAAAACAGTAGTCTTATAGATTCTCCTGTTTCCTTAATCCACTGGCTAATTTTGCCTTTTCTCAGAGATCTTTTGCAAGAATCTTAGATATTTTTGTTTCATTAAATGCTGTAACTTCTCCCATTTGCATTTCTCATTAGAAGTATGATTTAATCATTTCCTGTAAATTAATACAATAATTCATCAACTAACATAAAGGATTCATTATAAGAATTATAAAATTACAATTATAAAAGTAAGTATGGTTGTAGTAATAGAAAAGTTCCCAATGATATACTGTCACTTAAGGAAAATAACAGAATACATTGCCAGGTGGTGCTTTTCAGACATAACCCAAGTAAATACACTTTCAGATATGCTGAATTGGGCCATTTACTATAACTCAAAGGTATATTCAACCAGTAAGAGCCCACATGTTTCCTTGAGTACACCTTAAAGTGAAAGACTAGGAAGTAATCTAATTAAACTAATACCGGCTTTAATCAAGGAGCAAATTCCTAAAGATGTTTGTTCATTCATTCTACAGGCATTTTTTTGGAGGCCTGCTAAGAGCTAAACATGATAGACCCTTGAGATAAAAGCAGCTCATAAACGAATAAGTCAAATGGTGTGGGTAAAACAATGTGACAAAGGCTAGAATAGAAGTAATGATGGGGATTCTGAGTACAAGGAAAATTTTTAAAAAAATGTATTTCCTCTCATGCTTTTGGTCTTAACTGCCATAATTTAGGCTTTCTGATCTGCAGAGCATTCACATACATGCAAACACCTTGCTGTAGGCCAAAAATAGCATTACATTTGTATAAACTGTGTTTATGGGGAATCTATATCCTTTAAATGCTTTAAAACCAATAATTCAATCAATATTAGCAATAGTTTTTCATTTAGTATTTTCTTGATAATACACTGTTTTTAAAAACTGAGTATCTTGGGAAGCCTGGTTTATGAGATGCCATTTTCAGCTCTTGCTTTTTGCTTTTATGAGATTCATGAGTTTTGTTCTCCGGTACACAATGAAGGTTAGTATAAAGAATAAATATGTGATTTTATCTAGGAAAGGTAAGTGATGAGATTTAAAACAGAGCATACCCTACCCTCCTCCCCCATTACCCTCACCCCTCTAAAGGGTTAAAATGACTTCTACAAAGAGATGTGCAATCTTACCTGCTGGGGGAGAGATTTTTGGAACTGTCAAGCTGCTCTGGCTCAGGGTTCTCCCCATCATGACTGCTTTCAAGTATTTCTTCATTCTGAAGTGAAAGAAATTTTCGTAAGATCATCTATTTGTTTGGGGGAGGAGGGCTCTTACCTATATTTTTCTATTCCTAAATGTCTTTGTTTTGCTGTTGTTTTTAATTTTCTAGATAAGTGACATATTCAGTTTCTCATCTTTCTCTTTCTTTCCTGGGTTATCCCCAACCACTCTGTGGACCTTTTACAGTTTCCCCTTGAGGCTTCCTTCAGGAACATCAAAAACTCATTCACAAAAGCAGGTATCCTTTTTCCTTAAATGAAGGGACTATTAACATTGTATTCTTCCCCCTTCCCTGCTGATTCACAAAAATGATTCAGAGTTTGCTACAAGGGACAGCAAAGGGATCATTTGATTCAATGTTTTTTTTTTGTTTTTTGGGGTTTTTTTTTTTCTGGGTAAGAAATCAATGTCTGGAGAAGTTGTGGCCTGCCCAAGCCCAGAGAGAGAGCTAGACAGAGAGGAGATAAGTCCAGGGTCCACTTTCCCAGGCTGGTAATCACAAGTCCGTTGAATCACACTGCCTTCTTAGGCCAGTGCACAGTGGTCACCAGTGCTGGCTTAAAGCCAGCTGGTGGTCGGAAGCCCTGCTCCACTGTGTGCCACCGCTGAGACCTTGGGTGTGTGTGTGTGTGTGGGAAATCCGGGAGGGGCCAAAAGGAGGGAGGAGACGCCAGCCCTACTCTGTCCTGCCAACCTCCCAGAAATCCTCATGCTGGGACCCATCTTGGCTGAGAGACGCATGTGCCACCAGGAAAGACCCTGAGTCAGACCAAATATGGGCCAAGCAAGATGACTGGCCAGAGACAACCTGGAAAGCTAACCCCATTACCATAAAACCTAAGACTGCAAGCCGTGTGGCAGAGCAGTTCTCCTGGGTTCCCTTACCCTACTGCTCTCCGCCTGGGTGCCCTTTCCCAATAAAGTCTTTTTTTTTTTTTTTAAACATCTTTATTGGAGTATAATTGCTTTACAATGGTGTGTTAGTTTCTGCTGTATAACAAAGTGAATCAGCTATACATATACATATATCCCCATATCTCCTCCCTCTTGTGTCTCCCTCCCACCCTCCCCATCCCACCCCTCTAGGTGGACACAAAGCACCGAGCTGATCTCCCTGTGCTATGTAGCTGCTTCCCACTAGCTATCTATTTTACATTTGGTAGTGTATATATGTCCATACTAATAAAGTCTTTTGCTTGTCAGTTAAGTGTGTCTCCTTGGATAATTCATTTCCGAGTGTTAGACAACAGCCCACTCTCGGGCCCTGGAAGGGGACCCCCTTCTGTAACAGCATTATCTGCCGCATAGCGTTGCAGATCTTTTTCAGAACACTGGGCGGACTTCCCTGGCAGTCCAGTGGTTAAGACTCTGTGCTTCCAATGCAGGGGGCGCAGGTTCGATCCCTGGTCGGGGAACTAAGATCCAACATGCCAGACAACGTGGCAAAAAATTAAAAAAAAAAAAAAAAGAATAACACTAAGCATTTAATTCTCAAAAAGAGACAAGACTCCCACTCAATTTACTTTCCAGAAAATATAATTTTAACCAGGAAGTGAATTTGTATATCATATTGATAGCAACGGGAGTATTATAAGGGTATTAACCAATAATGAACAAGTAGATAATTAGCCAGCATTTGAATTCTTCCTGCCTGCTAGGTTCTGTTTAAATGAGTTATTTTACATTCTCACAAAAGGGAGTATAGATTTAGAAAGGGCCCTCTTGCAAAAGTATTATTAAGGGAAATTTAATGAATAAACATAAAGATTCCTTGTAGATTAGAGCTAAAAGTTGGACGACGAGCTTTTCCCAGATTCAGATGAACAGATAGGAAGAACCTTGCAAAACAGGTGAGAGTTACAGGCTGCTCAGTTAGTTGTAGACACTGCAAGAGAGTCCTCTCCCTGGATTAACAGAGAGCAGTCAAGGTAAGGCTGTTTTATTATCCACAATGCAGACCACAGAGACAGCAATTTAAAAGTGTTCAGTGTATGAAAGAAAACCATGGATTTTCTGTCTTTCCATAGATGTCTTCCCAAATCTGGTATCATATCCACAAAGCCGGCTAACAAATAAAGGAGGATTTGGGATACTAGTTTGTTAATTTAGCTCTAAAATACACGAGCAATCTTACATTCAGGTTCATATTTTTTCTTTTAAAATAGGATATCATTTCAATAAGAATCTAAAT